ATATTGTCCATCTCCCACAGCTTGCCGCGGTTGCGCGCGTGCGCCCGGCCGCGCTCGCGGGTCAGCGCCGCGATGTCCTCGCGCATCTCGTTGATGACCGGCAGCAGGAACTGCTCGAAGTCCTCCTCGGGCTCCAGCACCTCCACCTCCTCGGGCTCGGCCAGCTCCACCACGTCCAGAGGCCGCATCTTGCGCTTGGGCCGCGGCGCCGCCAGGCAGCTTCCGGTCGCTCCCTGCTCTTAACCGTAGGCCTTCGGCCTTGGGACAGCCGCAGCAGGAAGCGCCGCGCACGCACTGAGCGGGAACAAAATGGACGTGTGGCCGCCAACCAGCACCACTCCCGCCCGGCCACGTTTGCGGCCCTTTCACGACAGAGCCGGGCTCCTTTACGGTCACGCTCCCTAGGCACGCGCACGTAAAGGAGCCGTGCCCGCGCGCCGCATCCCGCCCTKCCCCTTTCCCGCTCTGTCTTCTGTGAAAGAAGGTTGGGGCTCCATCCTGCAGCAGTCCCTTGCAGGCTTTTACTTTCCCCCCTCCTCCCCCTATCTCCGTCCGCCCGCCCACGCAGTCTTAGGTTAATTTTTATTGATTCATTAACCCTCACAAACATATGAAGTAGTTGGGAAACTAGCTAAAAGCCGTGCTTGAGTGACATGCAGTTATGTCCACAGTCCCTGCGTTTTACTATTGCACATGCCCACCTCGGGACAACCCTGGACTCAAAACCCAGGATGCCAACAGCCCTTCTTCCTGGCCTCCCCACTGCTCACTCTGGTTCCTGGCTGCCGGGATTGTGCTGGTCAGTTACCACTTCACCAAGGTGAAGGGCCCCTTCTGGTTTGGTTCTGTCCTCTGCCCTTGCTGGAGGCCTGTCATTGAGTAGGGACTTTGGGAATGCTTTGGAGAGAAAAGATTCTTCCCTAAAATAGAAGCACCTCTTCTGAACTGGAAGCTCCTATACTTACAAGAGCCAAAAAAAACTCCTTGAGGGCAAGTTCTGGTCTTAGTCACCTTTATGTCCCCACTGCCCACCAGGCCTGAAAAACAGTGGCGTTCAGTCATTGATGCTTTAACATTCATTCGTTAAGCACCAACACATGTGGTTGTGAAATGGATGCAGTCTAATTCTAGGCATGTTYTCTCAGTGCCACACTAGCAGTAATTTGGGCTGGGGAGGCATCTTGCTTGCTTGCACAAATGCCACAAACCAGAGATTGGTTTTCTCATCTGCTAAAGACCTGTGGTCCCACCCCACGAATCTCAGTGGCAAGAGGTACCCATGAGGTGATTTTGTATGCGTTAGGCAAACAGCATAGCACTCGCAGGTGTTCATCAAAAGACTCCATTAACCTGCTTGTTAAATTTATTCCTAGATTTTGTTTCATTTTGCTTTTGAGGCTATTGTGAATAGGACTATTTTCCTGATTTCTTTCTTGGCATATTCATTGTTGTAGAATATGTTGATTTTGTAACCTGCAACCTTTGCTGAATTTATTAGCTCTAGCAGTCTTTTGGGGTGTGTGTGTGTGTGTGTGTGTGTGTGTGTGTGTGTGTTTTAATCTTCTAAGTGTAGGATTATATAATCTGCTAATAGTGATAGTTTGACTTCTTCCTATCCTATTTTTGTCTTTTTTATTTCCTTTTCTTGCCTAATTGCTCTAGCTAGAATTTCTAGCACTATATTAAATAATAGTGGTGAGTGTGGACATCCTGTTCTTGTTCCAGGTTTTAAAGGAAATGGTTTCAGTTTTTCCCCACTTACTGTGAGGTTGACTTTAATGAAAACTATAGAACATTGAAGAAGGAAATWGAAGAAGAAACAAGATGGAAAGATCTCTCATGTTCATGGATAGGCAGAATTAATGTTAAAATGGCCACACTACCAAAAGTAATATACAGATTCAGTGCACTCCCCATCAAAATACCAACAACATTCTTCAGAGCTATGGAAAAAAAAAAGTCCTAAAGTTCATTATTGTCTTAGTCTGTTTTAATAAAATACCATAAAGTGAGTAGTTTATAAATAACAGAAACAGTGCTGGGGCTGTATATCAGTGGTATAGCAAGCACCTGCCTACATGCATAAGACCCTGGGTTTGATCCCCAGCACCACAAAAATAAATAACAGAAATTTATGTTTGGGCTGGGGATGTGGCTCAAGCGGTAGCACGCTCGCCTGGCATGCGTGCGGCCCGGGGTTTGATCCTCAGCACCACATACAAACAAAGATGTTGTGCCCGCCGATAACTATAAATAAATATTAAAATTCTCAAAAAAAAAAAAAAGAAATTTATGTTTCACAGTTCAAAAGGCTCAGAATTCCAAGATCATAGCACCAACAGAATCAGTGTCTAGTGAAGGCCCATTTTCTGCTTCCTATATGGTGGCTTCTTGCTGTGTCCTCACATGGTAAAAGGAGAAGAGGCATCTCTTGGCCTCTTTAATAAGGGCATTCATCATACTCAGGAGGGTTCTGCCTTCATGACCTAACTGCCTCCCTAAGGCATAATCTCTTAATGTTGGGATTGGGATTTCAACATGAATTTCAGGGGACACAAATATTCAGACAACAGCATAGTCTCATTTGGTTTCATGTGATTTCAGCCCAGGATCGTCCAGGGGGGCACAGTGATCTCTGAGCTCAGCCAGTGTTGGAGAGGCCAAGTCCAAGATGGCTAGTGAGGCTGGTTTTCACTAGCATTTGCATGATGTCTTCAGCTCCTTGCTATGTAGGCTTCTCCATGGGATTGCAGTTGCTCATGAGTAGGCAGCAGGTTTTCCCCAGAGCAAGTGATTAGAGAGAAAGGGATGCCCTGCTGCTTTTTATGAACTGAAACAGAAATTCAGAGACCCATTGAACCCGAGGACTACTTCCTCATGAAGGGAACAGGCCTGGGGGATGCCAAGGAAGCTATAGGTGGAAACAACCCCTGCCCCAGCCTGTCTGGCACAGACTAACTAAATTTGCAAATGTGTATTTCCTACTTTATGTCCCATTTTGCCACATCTTCTAAAAGTATTCCCCACCCTGACAGCCTCTGAAGATGGAAATTTGAAATGAAAAAGTTTCTTCTGACCTCCTTTAAAACTGTTTTTGAAGGTGGGCACAGTGGCGCACACCTGTAAATCCCAGTGGCTCGTGAGGCCGAGGCAGGTGGATCTAGAGTTCAAAGCCAGTCTCAGCAATGGCGAAGCACTAAGCAACTTGGTGAGACCCTGTCTCTAAATAAAATACCAAATAGGGTTGGGGATGTGGCTCAGTGTTTTTGAGTGCCCCTGAGTTAAATCCCTGGTACCAAAACTAAACAAAACAAAAACAAAAAAAAACCCAAACAATTGGTTTTGAATAAAGCCTATTTTTCCTACCAATTTGACTCCAAATATTTGTGGAGCAGTGAGTGGTGTAGCCTGTAATCTGTCCTCTTCCCCTGAGCATTAAGAGTTCCAAATGGTAATCTCCAAGTCACAAGACATTGCTTCTACCCTTTCTACTAATTATGAGCAAATCACTATGCACAGTCCACAGTCCACAGAAGGAATACACAGGAGCATGAATACAGGGGGTGGAGGTCACTGGGGATCCTCTGGAAGGCTGATCACACTTGCCCCCRTCCAAGGTCCTCAAAAAAGTTAATTTTAAAAAACCCTCATAGTTTTGTGTATTACTATCCTACTGTAGCATCAGCTTCAAGTGCAGAATTTTGTCTTCCAAACTAGGCCAGGTGTGAATGAAGCTCCCTGGGCAGAGTTCCTTAGGTCCACCTCCTAGAGTTTTTCTTTATCTGTAGACCTTTGAAATGTTGTGCGAAGGTGTGGGAGAACCAGTATAGACATTCCTCCTCAAAAATGGGGGAAATAGGAGGCACAAAGAAGTCAGGGGTCCACAGGAATTCTGCAGTGCTGTCTCAAGGTTTATAATTAAGATCCCATGCCCCTCAACTCCACCATTTGGGCTCTTAATTCGGCACTCTGGGTCTTTCTTCTTTCTTTGTGAAAGGTAGCATGTGTTTGCCCACAAGCCATTCCTCATCTGCTTTTGTAGAAGTTTGAGAGGTCCAAAAGCCTTTCATTTTGTGCCTCTCTCTCCCTTTCCATTCATGCTACAGCATTTGTGTTACTGTAATTATCTTTAAAACTTTGTAGATTGACTGTGGATTTCATTGGGGTTCATTCCATTAGACAAAAGCCCCACTTGCAAATCCCTTCAAGACAAAGCTATCTCTGTCTTGGTCTTCTGCCCAAAGTGTTGAAGAGCAAGTTCTTAAGCTTTCTAGAGAAGCTATTGTTTGATAAATCCTATGAGGCACATCCTTCGCCTCTTTAAAGAGCAGAAGTCTGACAATACTAGGAGGCACCGACTTTAGTGTTTCTGGGCTTTTTAAGAATTCATGCAATCACTTTATGGAGCAAGACTGTCTGTGGAGCCTAAGAGACCTCTCATCACTTCTTAGGATCACACTGGGAAGATTTCAGACATGTCTCCAAAGTAGCAGGCAGTGTTTATTAGCAGGGATAAGAAAAGGGAATAGGGGAACAACTCTCAAGGGATAGAGTGGGATCTTTCAGAGAGGAAAGGGACAGAATGCCCCACACCACCATCCAGTTTTATTGGAGGTCCCAGGTCTACCTCTTGATCTGATTGACAAGTGGACTGCATCAAAGTTTCAAGTCCCTATTGGACCCCATCTTACCGGATGGAGGGGCGATTTTACCAATATAATGACATCCTAAAGATCCAAGGCCACTCTGGGTCCCTTTGGCCCATGCTGACAGGTTCTAATTCAAACTTGTCACAGATTTTTATGGGAGGAGGCCTTGCTTTTAATTATCCTATATCCTTGAGTTCTTGGTCTGTGCAAAGGCTACAAAAGTCCCCCGCCCCCAGTGTAGTTTGTGTTGGCAGGAAGAAAACTTTGGGGCCTGCACTTCTCCTGCAGATAACAGGTTGATTTCTGAGGAATGTAACATATCCCATTGACTTAAGCCAGGCAGGGCTATAAGCAAATTGCTTTTTAAAAGAAAGCATGTAGGGTCAGGACAGTTGGCCCACTTTATAGAACTATCCCCTTAACCTCGTGTCCCACCACTCAGGTCTGCCTGTTACCCATCAATACCAGAGTCATCTTTAGGTCTTGCAGTACCTTGGATATGATCTCTGCTTATGCACCATTTCCTAACCATTTGTGGCCTGAAGAACTTCCAGTCATTCCAAGTCGTCATGAGCACCCATCTTGCAAACAGACCTTTCTTTTGCTCATCTCTCTTATTTTACTTTTGCTGCAAGAGGAAAGGAGGGGCAGGAGGGAGCCCAGAATCGGAGGGAGGCTGCGGGGTGGGAAGGGTATACAAAGGCCTCGCGCGCACCGAGCCGACCCCTTCCCTGGGTTCTCACACCGTCTTTACGTTTGCGTTTGATTGGGGTTCTGAGCGTGAGCCACAGCGTGCGTGCGCGCACCCGTCCGAAGGCAGGAAGCCGGTAGATGCGCGCGCCTGGGGGACGGAAACAGTTACGTGCGTGGGTGGCGGAAGCAGAAAGAAGCATTCGCGCGGGCACGCCGGAGGTGTGGTGCGGGAGCGCGGACGTACGTGGGCGTGACGCGGCGCTCTGGCGCCGGAAGCGGGGCGCGCGTGCGGGCAAGCGGGTCCGGGAGCGCGGCGCGCGGGCGCCGGCAGCGGGCCATGGAGGTTTCCCCCGAGGGTGGAGGGCCCTCGCRGGAGGAGGAGGCCGAGCCGCAGGGCACCGCCTGGAGCGGGGACAGCGGTAACGTGTCCCAGAGCCACAGCAGCGCCTCGGGGCCGTGGGAGGACGAGGGCCCGGAGGACGGCGCTCCCGGCCGCGACCTGCCGCTCCTGCGCCGCGCCGCCGCGGGCTACGCCGCCTGCCTGCTGCCCGGGGCCGGGACGCGGCCCGAGGTGGAGGCCCTGGACGCCAGCCTCGAGGACCTGCTCACCAGAGTGGACGAGTTCGTGGGCATGCTGGACATGATCCGCGGAGACTCATCCCACGTGGTCAGCGAGGGCGTGCCTCGCATCTACGCGAAGGCCACGGAGATGCGGCGCATCTACAGCAAGATCGACAAGCTCGAGGCCTTCGTGCGGATGATCGGCAGCAGCGTGGCCAGGATGGAGGAGCAGGTCACCAGGGCTGAAGCCGAGCTGGGGGCCTTCCCCCGGGCCTTCCAGAAGCTCCTGCACACCATCAGTGTGCCCTCCTTCTTCACCAAGCCGGCCCCCGCGAGGCCGCCGCGAGCCGCCTACGAGCCGCCGGTCCTGTTCCGCACTGAAGACCACTTCCCCTGCTGCCCTGACAGACCCCAGCTCTGAGTCCCGCGGCCCCTGCGCAGGAGGACCCCAAGCGAGACACTTATCCCAAGTATTAAACTAATTAAAGGGCCTACTCATAGGCGTTTAGGATGTGGAGCATGGAGTTTTGAAGTTTATTTTCTGCAAACAAATTCTCAGTATATTCATTATTCCACGTAGAATTGCAGTTTTCCTGTGTCTTCCAGTTCTCATCTAGCTGCTTGGTGGGGGATGGGGAAGCAAAATGAATGAACTTAATCTGTGCACTGTGGCAAAACTGTTATTTTTACGGATTTTACTACTCAACAGTATTACCTTTTCAAGATTTATATATTTATATGATCATAAGAAAAACTACTGAGCCAGTAAAGCTTTGTTATTAATTAATCCTAATAATGTCTCAGTTTTCTGCATGGCCTGCTTCTAGGGTAGGTGGCACATTAGCATTACATTCAAGTTTCCATAGCATGGATTATAAACCACAGGAAAGTAGACAATTTCTGAGAAAATATATTGGTTTTTTGCAACTAATTCTGAAGTCGCATTTCAAAAGTATGACATCTTAGTAAATTATATGGTTTTGTTACAGTGCTGGGCATTGAACCCAGGACGTCCTGCATTACTTTGCACTGTACGACTGAGCTACACTCCCTTTATGATTGTCAGTATAAGGCCTCAGAAAGTTGCCTTGGCTCTCCTTGAACTTGAAATCCTCCTGCTTCTGCCTCCTAAGTTACAGGCCAGTGCCGCCACACCTAGCACAGTCTTGGTTTATCCATGACAAACAAATCTGGATATAGTTGCGGGTGTTTGATGTATAACTTTTTTTGTTTCTTTGTGGTGCTGAGGATTGAACCCAGGGGCTTTGTGCATGCAAGGCAAGCACTCTACCAACAGCTGTATCCCCAGCCCGGTGTATAACTTAAGGAAAATTTTAAGTGTCATTGGAAAGGCTTTCTTCTGAAAAAGATTTCATGTTTCCCTTTTTATTTGAAAATAAGCATGTTGCTTGCAATTTTAACAGTGGGATAAAGAGCCGCCCACCCTGTTCTGCACTGAAATCAGTGGGAAGAACTAAGCTTAGCTGCTATTTCACAGCACTGTTATTTCTTTCCCCTTGCAATGGAGAGTTAAAGCATAGGTGTGAATGGATGGTATTAGGATTTTGATCTTTTACCCTGTCAACAGGGAATGCTTAAGAGTCCCTTGCAGATATAATAGGGTTCAATCTATATTTTAATGTCTTATAGATGGCCCTTTAGAGACCTCAAATAAGCATTCCCCTTAGGTGGTTTTTGTGTCATTTTGTTAGTACAGATCTTTGCAGTTGATGGAGTATGACATAGAAGGTCCCTGGAAGCTAAGGGCAAGATGACATCAAATTTTCCATAAGTCGTTTAGTTTCCAAAATAGTTAACAGGTGTTTACAGGATTTCTAAGTAGAGATTCATTCAGGGCCTTCCTGGATGGAGTGGGATTTGAAGCTGGTTTGTATTGATGTTAGATGAAGGTCATTAGCCTCAAGAATGGAGATTGGTAGAGCCAGGTGCACCCTGCCCTTGGCACCACTGCCATCAAGGCCTCTTCCTGGCTCCCTGCTCTCCCAACTCCAACCAGCTGGAGAGTCAAGAGGACTTCTGGATCCTGGAAAACCTGTTCTACCGATTCCTAAGTCAAATACAAGATGGGGCTGCAGGGGAAGGCCCAGTTGTCTTCCTAGGTGACCCCGTGGACATCTGCTGCTGGGGTCTGGAGTACCCCTGCTTTATAGAAGTATCAGCAAGTGGGGATAAGGTCTAATTGCTCAGGTACCCCACCAATCATGCAAGAGCACAATAACCAAAGGACATCCCTTCCATCAAGGGCAGTCTTTGGCATCCAGGAGTTGGTTTGTGCACACAGGAAACACTGGGTACTAATGAGCTGGTGAGCACTCTGGCTTTCCCCCAAGCTAGGACTCTGAGGAATTGGAGTCTTGCACTGTGTTCAGAGTGTAGAAACCAGGTCTACCTACCCTGGCGCAGGGGTCAGCAAAGTTCACACGGGCCACAGGGGAAGTGTTTTAGCATTGCTGGCCTTATGGTCGCACAGTTACTCCCTGACCCGCAACAGCCACAGGTATGTGAGCCAATGTCATGGCTGTGTGCCAATAAAAGTTCACTTACAAAACCGGGTATTGACGCACAGGAGACATACTGAGAAAAACTACTGGTGGTCTGAAATTTAAAGTTTTATTMTTGCTTGGTTAAACAGGCATCCGATGACAAGAAGAAAGTATCAGTCCCTAAGGGTTTTTTGTTGCTGCTGAAAATGAGAAAAGTGAAAGACAGGCTTAGGATTCCAGAGAGGAAGTGCAGGCCACATGAGACCAAGTCACAAGCAGGTGAAGCCACACACTCTCTGGACCTGAAGCTTCTCATGAGCTCCCTCATGGCACTGTCTTCTGAGGACTCTGATTTACAGTGATCTGTTAACAGAGGTAACACTCAACTCACCCCAAAATGTGTCCCAATGCACCCTACTGCCCACCCCCCTTGCCACCCTGCCATCCCAGTGCCCTGCACATCCCAGGCRGCTCGGCAGCCTTGTGGATCCTCTCCTGCCTCCCTTGCTCTGCACATGGTGCACAGCAGCCAGGAGGCTTCTCGCTCCTGAGCCAGCACTGGGGCCTGCCTGAAGCCTTCACTAGCTTCTCCTGGCGTTAGATTAAAACTCCAATCCTATTCTCTGACCTGCTGGCCCCCGCAGAACCCACTCCCATCCCAAGCTGACCTCTCTCCTGTGCCTCACTCCCCTCTGGTCTCACTTGACCCTGGAAGACTCCTGGTATGTCCCTGTCATAGCACTGACTACAATTGAGATTCGTGGCTGTGGCATTATTGCCCTAGCCTGCCTCCTCTGCCACCAGCCGTGAGAATTGGAGTGACCCCTGGGTCATGCCAGGTGTGGCTGCATCCTCAGCCGCCAGCACCAGGCCTGGCACATGCAGCTGCTGCATAAGTGGCCAGAGACTGGCTGAGGGAAGGAATGACTAGAGAACAGGCCCCCATCAGAAATGCCAGAGGGATACAAAGGCAAACAAAGAATCAACCAAGCAGATGTTTCCCAGGAAAGCAAGCTCTATAGGAGGGCCAAGGACTCAAAAGAAAAACAAGATATGCTGCTTCTCCCAAGAGGAAGACAGGCTAGTAGGCGAGAAGGTCAGATGCCAGTGTTAGTCCAAACCACAGTTCTGGGGCTGCGCTGGTTAAAGACTGCAGGCATACTCGGGCTCCAAGAACAAAATAAGAGGCCTTATTCTTAACTGCACCAGAAACTGTTGGTACGGCACTTGGATGCTTAGCTTCTAAGTCTTCTAAGAAGACTTCTATTATGTGCCAAGAAATTTAAAAACTATTTTGCGAAAAACATTTTCCAAGGTGACYTAAATCATTGGTCACGTTAATGGAGAATGAGAGCACCTCCTTCAGGACCTTCATCATCCAAGGGGCGGGGCTGTTTGTGGTTTGTGAGGCAGTGGTCCTGCACCTGCTGCAGGAAGGAGAGCCTAAATAAGGAAGCCTGTGTAAATATAGGACTGGTTGCAGGACCCTGGTTGTGGTGTCTGCAGTCAGCTCCTTCCCCACCAGGGGGCACTGCAGGAGCAAGTAAGGCCTGAAACCAGGGTGCGGACTCTGCCTTGGGAAACTCTGCCTTGGGTGAAGGCACTGAAGATTGAGACACCCTATTCATCTTAAATGCAGAGGGGGGACTACAGCCAAACTCCCAAGGCAGAGTTGGCTGTTGCTTCTGCATGGGAGGTGGGAGGGGAGGAAGCCTGATGGTGGGGAGGCCAGGGTGCTAATGCAGTGGAGCCAGTTTGGTGGGGCTGTAGACAGTGACCCTCCATTGACTGTCTCATCCCTCTTATCTGTCTCCAGAGGGAACATGACCATTTATCTCTCTATCTCTAAGGGCAGACAGAGAGAGGGCAAAGGTCCTTTGTGACACCTAGCAGCCTGTCTGGCACAGGGCAGGCCCTGACAATATATCTGTGGAAACAATGAAAGGGGACAAAGGGGACAAGGAGGTGGYTGATGGTGAGGCAGGCAGGCGCCCAGAGCCTACAGGTTCACTTCATGCTGTGTCCGTCCCCCTGGACTGCGCTTCTGCCTCCAGCCCGCTTCCACTGCATCCTTAGGTCCTCGCTGTGTCATGAACAGGGCCTCACTGGGCTGGGTGCCAGGTCAGCCTGGCAGTGTTAGCTGGGAGCACTCCATCTGCTGGCCTTCCCCGTGGCTAACATCTCCAGGGCTTTTCTCCACCACACGTCATCAGTCAGGGTCTCCAGAGAAGCAGCACAGGAGAGGGGTATTCAGATCCCCGAGAGGGATTTATTAGGGGAGTTGGCTCACAGAAGTCCCCAGTAGGCCATCTGCAAGTTGGTGGTATAGTCATGTCCAARTCCAAAGGCTTCAGAACCAGGGAAGCAGAAGGTGTAATTCCTGGCTCCAGTTCCAGGCCACAGTCCTGAGAAAGGGAGCAAGGAAACTGGTGTAAGTCCTGGAGTCCAAAGGCCAGGAGCCTGGAGTTTTGATGTCCAAGGGCAGGAGAAGAAGAGTCAGTCCTGGCTCTTGAAGAAGAGGCCACTTCACCCTCTGCAATTGCTCATTCCTCCCTGGGCCAGCTGCCCAGTGCCTGCCCACACTGACCAGGGCTCTTCACCAGCTAGTCCTTACAGACTCACATGCTAATCKCCAGAAACACTCAGAGACACCCCAAATAGTGCCCTGCCATTTTTCCCGGTGTTCTGGGTTTCCAGGTTCCTTCCTGAGCACTGCTGGCCTTGAGCTGCCCCTCCCTCACCTCTGCTCCACCCTTTCACTCTCCTTCATTTCCTCCACATGGACTTGCTGTTGCCCAGAGGGCTCCTCATTTCAGGCACACAGTCTCTGATGGGCATGGCCGTGCTTGCTGAGTCCCAGGCCAGTTCTGTACCCCAGAGTGTCTCCCCATCACCTGTGTCATCAGTCCATGGGGACACTTTGTGAGAAAGAACCAGCACACGCAGTGAAAGGAAGTCAGACTTTGCCTCAAGAGACCCAAGGGCACCTGGAGCCCATGGCAAGTTGCTTCTG